CCCCAAAACCCCAAAACCCCAAAACCCCTCAATTGAATTTATCTGTTAAAAATTTGAATATTAAGGAATCAAGAAATTGGTATAATATAGTTTTAATCTTTAAATTATGAGGAAACCATTACAATTCTTAGAGATTTACCAGGAGCAAAAAACAGTGGACCCTTAAGAACAGCCACATTATCAAGATCAGAGTCCACCTGGTCCTTTAGATAATACCTCATTAGTATGCAAATTGAGGAATCTTTTAATGAGTTTGCTAACTCTGTTAAATGTATCAATTGTAATAGCTATATGTAAGTATACTCATCTTTAACTGACGAAATTCAATAGGTACATTCTATCAAAGAGTTTACGGACAAAGAAGAGAAGAATTTGAGAACAAATCAAGAATCACCACTAAGCTTATTCTGGTTGAAGCTTTTGCTGTTCTCAATGTCTATTATCTAGATATCTCAAGGAAGAGAAGGCAAAATTTGGGTGATACTGAAAATCAAGATATGAAATTTGAAGCTAAAGTCTAAAAAATTAAAAGGATAAGTAAGTTATGACGTAGTCAATGATATTCTTACGTTTATAATTATAGTATATCATGACGTCACTCGTGATTGCTGCCTTCGAGAGAATATAAACATGGATGATTATACCAAGTGGGGAGCAAGTAGTTAAGATGGGAAAAGACTAAAATAAATAATAAACAAAAGTCTAAAAGAAATGAAGAAAGGGATTAAACCATCAATTGATTATGATATTAACTCAAAAATAACTCCAGCAGTTCTTAACTCTATCTACCAGAAATTACTAGCATTTTAAAGATATAGTACCCTAAAGATAATATTCAATAAGATGAGGTTACTGAATGAGCGAGGGTAAGATAAGCAAAAACTTTCTGAAGAGGATAAGAATGAAATAATGATACAACTACAAAAAATGAAGCCTCGCATCATTAGGGAAGTTGCTCAATTGTATGACGTATGCATAAAAGGTGAAAATCCAAGTGTAACTATAAAAAAGGCTTTCAACAAATACTTCTTCGACAAGACCTGGTATGAAGAAATTCTCAAGGTTTATGACGAGCATTACAAGCAGATGGCTATACTGATTAATTACGGAGATAAGACAAAGATAACTTAGACTGATATTGATACAATTAGAAGTCAAAATCCAATGAAAACAAAAGACCCTCAACTAGGATCCAAACTTATATATTAAATCATTAAAAGCTCCGAGAGTCTTAGCAATGAAACCATTGAGATGATTACAGGCAAGTTTAAAATGAATTATGTGAAACCTCCAAAGCTATATGTACTGAAATTGTAGAGAATAAAGGATAAAATGGCATATGCATTGAGATCAAAGCTCCAAAATCTTCAAGCTAAATAACAAGATGAATCACCAAGCAGATATTAAAGTAGTGCTGGTCCACAAACAGTAAAATCATAGAAAAGTACATCTTAAAGAAAAGATTCTAACTCCTCCTTAAATACAATCCAACCTAATAAATCATAGCAAAACAACTAAGCTTAATAAAGCATTGAAGCTTATCTTGCAGCAAAGACGAGATAAAGCATGGCTAAAAGAATATTTACTCAAAATTAAAAATACGCAGCCATTTTTAAATCAGATAGATCTTCAGTCAAGTCAAAAGATTAAGATAATATGAGTGTAAAATCAGGCTCAACATCTAATCGACCAATAGAGGAGGAAAGATATCCTGAAAATGAATCAAGTTATAATTCAAAAATTAAAACTTAAAATGAAAGTAGTTCAAACATAGGATATACTAACATTTACACTAATACCGAAGGAGATGAAAACTAGAGTACCAATTCAGATAAAAAGGAGGTAAAAATGAAGATTGCTGATTAACTTAAAAAGATGCTTGAGGAGGAAAGACTGAAAAGATAACAGGAAAGAGCTAAATAATGATTGAGATTATCAAAAATTAAATTAAAACCTAATATCTAACCCACCCAGATAATTCTTGATTTCATTAATAATAATCCTAAATTTCACTAATAATAATCGATGGGGTTTTGGGGTTTTGGGG